AGGAGGCACACAGTCACCAGTAAACCAAGTTCCTGTTCCGATTTTCATCCTACACTCAGATGCTTGCACTTTTGTTCAGTCAGAACAGAGGACAATATTGAGCTCATTTATTTGAGTAACCGATTTCATGCGATTAAATCTGCAGAGGAATGGGTATAGAATCGGATCGCTGGAGGCCACGACTCCAAAGCCGTCAACTTCCCCGATTCATCCATTTTTCAAGGAATTCAGTTTAGCGATTCGGTTCAAGAAGGGACAGTCTATCTTACTGAACTAATAAATTTAGGAACACATTCTTCTCAATGTATTGAAAATGCCATGACTAATCTTAAGGATTTGGAGCATTCAATTGAAACAGATATTTAGACAATGGATATTTAAATTGGTTTGTATTAATATCAACGGAATCGCTTCTCGAAGGGCGAACTCACATGTCACTATAACAACCGCGTACTTAAAATACTTATTTTGTTTGTCCACCGATTAAAGAGGGCTGTGCCACGTAAGGCATTCAACTAATCCAGTTTTTTGAAAACAATGTTGCCTAATAAATTATTAGTTGGAGGCAAGGAACAGATCAGCAAAAATAAACACGACGTTGGGGCTTGGGACCTTTATAATGGACGACATCTCGATTTAAGTTGTTGAAAATTTCAGTGAAAGGAGCTCACTAGAGCCGGTTGATCATATTGTTATTTGACAAAACCAAAGCATAAAGTGAGTCATCGTGAGTGTTAAATTTCAACTCGGGTTATTGAAAGCGAAGTTATACGAAGTGGCGTCTGGACATTTTCACAAAGAAAACTCATTTACCATATTAAGGGCCGCAGTCCAGTCTCCAAGAATTTCTTCCAGCTTAGACTGCTCAGCACCCACATCTGGTACCTTCCTCAAGGCGTCAAATAGTTTCTCTAAACGTTGGCGCTGTTCCAGAGTGAGGAACTGTACATGGTCAATCTTGCCTTTGAGATAGCCCTTCGGGACTTCCATAACCTCCTTCAGCCTAAAGACCAATGTCATTGCACAGTCCAGGCTTTTCAATAATGGTAGGTATGGAAAGAGGGACGAGGATGAAATGTCATTCTAAATGTTTTGTGATATCTTTAAAACACTTTAAAAAGCGAAGATGGAAGCGCACCTGTTAAGTTCTGCATTGAGTCGTTCGAAAGCCCTGTGAGTACTTTGAGCCAGTTTTTCTGCATCAAATTCAACAGAACGAAGCGTAGTGTCAATATCTTGGACTGTCTTTCGCAGTTTGGAGGCCTCCTCTAGAAGACTAAAATACAATTTACCACAAAGCCATAAAATAAAAGTAACAGAGGTTTAAGTGAAGTAAAATCTGTTAAAATCAAAGTAAGAGTTAGTTGGGTACAATGAAGCGAATAATGGATTTGGCTCATATCAACGCCTTTATTGTTGTGTACTTTTAAGATGGTAGACATAAAGTCTAGTATTCATCCATATCTGGAAGCTCCGTTTAAAACTTGTGAGTTTGGTGATCGAGCCTTTGCGCCTCTACTTCTTGGATGCATAAATTGCATTCATTTCATTCTGTCGAGAGAAGTGCCAAAGACCAGCCAGAATTAAAGTTTATGGTAAGGTTAAAAAATGCATCGTGGAAAACGACAAATAACCGGTTGTTTTATCAAAAGGGGAATTGAAGGTAAGTAGGGGTGAATTTGGGAATTTCGTATGTAAATTTCTGAAAACAACGCACGGCTTGACGGTTTCAGTAGCATTGCGCGCTTGTTCGGTCAGAGTGCTGTCTCGGTTTACGGAGGCAGCCACCTTCTCAGCAAAACTATCCAGTTCTCGTTGACCCACCGTCTTGACCCTCTCGGCTAGTTTGGCAAGATCGCGTTTCACCGAATCCAGTCGCTGGGTCAGATCCAGACGCGTGCATGAAGGCTGTTGATAATACCGAGGTTTATTAAATGTAACATCCATTTAATGTTACCGTTGGGTTTCGAGTGCAAAAAGTGGCCGCATCTAAACCATCACATTCGCATTTAGCCTAACATCACAAAAAGTGTAGTGCTCGGGTGAGAGCTATGCAGATAGTTTTTTTGAGTGGTAAATCGACCTCGAATGTAATACTAATTGGTTTAAGAGCTTTAAGTTAAACCCAAAGTTATAATCTGCTGATATAATGTTCTACTTTGGTACTAAAAGACCGTGGAGACAAACTAACATGTTGAATGACAGCACTTAGGCGGAGTTTCTGAGGTTTTTCGTGCGCGGGATGGATGATGTATTGCCTGGAACTGCGCGAACATTCCCTGCTTGCTGATGCCCATTTCCAATCAACATGGTCAACCAAATGATGGTTAAGTGAAATGATGTAAGTAGGATTGGAGCCATTTTAGTAAGGGTGGAACAATGTAGTTCGGTGTAGTGTCGCCTCTTAACAGTTGTCGTCGGGAGCTGAGTCGACACTTTTAATTAACGATTTGACGTTTATGAGAGGAAGGTTCTCTGAGATGACAGCTTTCAGCCCAAGTTCCCCTTTACAGACGAAATTGTCAACAACTCTTTATTTTATCAGTGAATGCTATGCCTATAGTGCAGTTATGAACACGGACACTCAGCATACACAATCATTCATCAAGCACATAATTTTAAAGACTTAATCCGATGGGCATCAGTGGCTACATGATCTGGTCAAATCAAGTATTATTTATTCTTACAAACAAGGATTTATAATGAATTTCTTGAATACGCAAAGGAAACGTTTTAGGTGTCTGAGTTTTGAAGACTTCCATCTTGCAAGATTTCCTACCCAACATTCCTACTCTCTCATCTCCTTCGTGACGCCGAAGATGTCGTCCGAACCACAATTGAATTTCCATCGTTTTACGGAATGAGGAATAAAATAATAGCGGAAAAACTAGTGCACGGGAAAGACCAATGAATTGAAGGAAATGTTGCCTTGCCCGGGTGGACAGATTGTTGACGCGATCTCGAAATTTTTATGCTAATCTCAAGGTCACGAAGCCATGACTGAAGCCCCAACTTACTTGCCGATGGCAAAATGTGCGGACAATAAAAACGGCAATTGATGTAAAGTGGTTACCAGCTTTATTTAATCTTGTTAACACTTTGAAACAGAAAACACATACCAAATGGTTGATTTAGGTGAGATTAGAAGTGATGACACTGCTGCTTCTGTTAAAACAGTTAAGTAAAAATCTGACAATAACCGCGCTCGGTTTTAAAATCACGAAAGATGGAGTAGGTGTTGTCAAAATGGGCAATGGATACGAGAGGTCAAGGAGATGCTGATTCAGGACAAGAATTTAGGTGGAGGAATTTGTCATACATCACCCCTTGTCATAAACACGTTCCTCTCATTTCAACCCAAGACCTGTAGCTGGCCCAGCGGGGGTTGTAAGTGGGTCGAGGACTGGCGATTTGCAGGTTAGTTGTTTTGCTCCAGTTATCCAGCAAGCTCATTACCCCAAAAGCGTACATGCATCCTCAAATCAGGCGATCAGGAGCGCTTGATTGACATCAAACACTTGCTATGGCCAATTGCGTCTGGCTGCCCGTCTCGATGTTCATCGCCAATGCAAAATCGTGATCCAAATAATGTTTTTTCAAAGTCTATGTGAATTGACAAGCTATTCAGGCGCAAATAGAAGATGAGTTGATCCGTTGTTTACTTGAGCAGGGAGAATCGACTGGTCACGAGCTGAGACTGTTGTTCTCTGCATTAACAGAATTAGCAGAGTGGTTGTGTTTACCTCCGCAAAAGTTATGGCTGACAAACAACAAGTTGAAATTCTGAATGCCCATTAAATTCTGTTTACCCTACCCCAAACAACGACCAGATTCGAGACAGAGCCGAATGTGCCAAACGGATGCTAATGAATGGTATCCCTCATAAAATTTAAGTCGTACCAAATTTCGACAAAAGTTATTGTACGCAGTTGAAGCTGACGTATTAATTAATCTCTACTGAATTACTCTATGATTACCAAGTAATCAGGACGAGATCAAGGTGGTGGAATTTTCACAAACATTTTGAATGTTGTCGTAACACTGAGTTGTGGCAACAACATATCACAAGCTTTCCAAATGTTTGGTTTAAAGTTATCGGGACAAATTTTAAAGGGCAAGTTGAAGCAAGAAGCTGTGAATCCTTTTAGTGCATTTAGAGTTTCAAGTATTCAGTGCGTTGAAGAAAAGGGAGGGGAATTCGGATAAAGGGACAGCAATTATAATGCTATTTTGCCAAACGCTACACACAACAATCCAAATCAACAATGTAAGAGAGGAAACGGATACAATTTTGCGAAGAATGTTAGCTTTATAATGTTCGAGTGAAGAGGAATAAAGAAGATGGCCTGAACTAACCCTGTGCATTTCGTACTTCTCTAACTCCTTAGTAAGGTCTGATGCTCGCTTCAGGAGGTCTCCGGTAGTCGCCTCCAATTGGTCGGAATTCGTGACAGCAGAACTGACTGAATGAACGAAAAGTAAAAATAAAGGCGCCGTGTTCTCCATTACCTAACACAACACATATTTGAAGGGTGAAGCTGCCTTTGTAATGGTACTTTATAACTTACCAAGACTGTTCTGCAAAACAGCACTGTAGACTTCTTGGACGGTGTTGTTGAGCTTTTTGATCTGCTCGTAGAGTAAGGAACTGTTTCCACTGTCCTCAAATTCAGGACCGCCATTGCTGGCAAAAACTTCCGATAACCTCTTCTGCAGCTTGTGGACTTGTTTTTGCACTAGGCTATAGCATGGTGGGCAAGGTAGGCATCCCGCGCTGAGATCGTAGCGGTTTTCCTGTGAAAACGAAGTGATTTTCGCAATGACAAGGCTTTTGTTAATGATGACATTTACCCAAGTTCTGTTAATAACTGATGATTGTGAAATTGATGCATATTATGATTTTAAATAGCCATCTAAAACCCAAATACTTTGGACGCAATGAGAATGCTGTCCAAAAAACCAAAATGGTAAACCCACACTTTCATTTCCGATATTTCTGTTGCATTGCTTACTACTCTGTTAACTTTTGCCGGAAAGTTTTGCTAATTTATTTGAGCACTAATGCAGAAAGTGGGGAATAGATAGTACACATGCTTTT